CGACATTTCCCTCCCTAGTGCCACCCTCTGTCCCCGACCAGAGATAAAAGAGCACAACCAGTTACGGGCTATGCCCTGTATCCCCACATCTGCGAGGCGGTGGTCCAGAAGATCATGATCGACCATGTCAAAGGCTGCTGACAAATCTAAAAGGATCAGCAGTCCTGACCCGCCTCGATCCAGTTGTCTACGGAGATCATCTGTTAGGGCAACCAGAGCCGTCTCCGTCACAAAACCAGGACGGAAACCGGACTGAAATGGATCTAATGCCGATGTTTCCTCCAGAAACCTACCAAGCTGTTCAGCAACCGCTCTCTCAATTACCTTACCCAGGTATGGAAGATTTGAAACTGGGTGGTAATTGGATAGGTCTAAGGGATCTAATGAAGTGTTCTTTAAGAGTGGACACACCACTGCTTCCTTCAGTTCCCCTGGGAATGTCCCCGTGTCAAGGGACAAATTGGTAATTTCAACCAGGGGGGTCCGCGCAACATCTGGACACTCCCTAATCAGCCAAGACGGGCACGGATCAAGGAGGCAGGTGGTGGGCCTACCAACTTGGAGGAATCTATCTACATCAGTAGGGAGTATCCGATCGAAATGGTCCAACACTGGACCTGAAGTCAGTCGAGGGGCCTCCAGTTCAGTCACTGTATCTAAATTGGCAGGGAGGTCACGGCGGAGCAACAGGACTTTCTCCGCAAAAAAGCTCGCGAATGCCTCACACCTGTGGGTCGAATTTGTGCTTACATTTGGTTGTCCTCCTAAGGACGTTATTGACCTAATTATTCTAAAAAGTTGTGCCGGGCGAGAGCTAGCGGATGCAATGGAAGCTGCAAAGTAAGATTTCTTAGCAGCTTCATAGCCATCTCATAGGCTTTCATAAGCATCCTATAAGATGTTCTTGAGGCTCCGTCACGAGTCCATCGCCATACTCGCTCTAGCCGTCTGAGATCCTGCTTCATTTTCCGGAGCTCCTCAGTAAACCAAGGGGCCCGGTTTCGACGGGGTCGCAGAGGGCGCTTAGGCGCGATCTCATCAATAGCTGCCAAGAGCTGGTTATTCCAGTCCTCAACAAGGTAATCTAATGAGTAGCCAGGAGGAGCAGGGTTCCGCAAGGCTTGTCGGAATCTATCAGGATCCATCAGTTTTCGCGGACGAGCCCAAATAGGTTCGCCACCCGAGCCGGGGAGGAGCGGGAAGTCAATCTTGGCTTTCAGAACGTAGTGATCAGACCATGGCACTTCCACAGCGGGGAGCATGATCACATCTATGCCAGCCCCAAAGATCAGATCCAGCGTGTGGCCTGCTTGATGAGTGGGGCCCAAAACAAACTGGGAGAGCCCTAGTGTTGCCATGGAAGTCAGTAGGTCCAGAGCCTGTGAGGAGGGAGCGGCATCGGCATGGACGTTGAAGTCTCCCAAAACCAGTAGGTTTGGGAACTCCAAGGCCCAGCCCGCCACCACCTCCAGCAGGTCTGACAGGGTGGCTGCAGGTGTGCTGGGGGGTCGATACATAAGCACCTTTATCAAAAGGATTTTTGTTATAATAAATTTCAGAGTAAGCCTAGATGTTCATACTTTTCAGTTCAGTTCCTTAATACAAAATGTGTTATAGAAAATGACAGATCATGGCAGAAACATTAACTTTGGCGTGCACTTAAATTCAGTAGAATTGTTTATATTTCCTAAGTAATTCAAAAATACATAATAATCGCACCAGAAGTAGTAACCATAGTGATATAGAAAATGAATAAAGCACTTAATGATTGGAAAAGAGAAATACACCTATTTAGTCTCTCTTAGTAGAGTTAGAGAAACATCCACTATAATGTAAATTTTAAATGAAGACTTGGTGAACTCTAAATCCAAAGTAATCTTTATTAGCAGAGAGATTAGCTACTCCCTCCTTCTTAGTGATTAGCACTTTCATCCTATGTCAAGTAGTAAACTCTGGCTGTTCTCCTCAGAGTGCTTTAGCCACTTTGGTAAAATGCAGAGTCAGCTGTTCAAGACAATACGAGTTGCTTCTGGTTTAAAGCTACTTTCTCAATGCAATAGGAAGCTTGCCGATAGATGAAATATTGTGGGAGAGTAAATGTACACAAAGACCTAGAGAGGCTGATGGGTTTAATTCCAACATGTTTTTTTTTCATCACATAGTTAAAAATTCTCTACAAAGAGGGATAAAGTGGGTATACAAAGTTAACAGTATAGTGAAATCCGGGCAGTTAGAAAGGTTAGTGATGTTCATTGTTAAATTTCCCATAATTTTGGAGCTTTTGATAATGTTTCGCAAACTCTGTTTGATTGAACAAATTATGCAATGATAATGCATTATTGCTTGAGGCAAGCACTGGAAAGTGTTCACTGAAAGGTATTTTTAACTTCAAGGGATTTATAAGAAGCTATAATGCAGAGTTAGAGAACAGATATAACGGCCATACTTAACAGTTTCAGATTGTGCCTGTTTGAATATAGTTCTTAATTTATAAAATTAGAGTTCTGGGGTTTGAGGCTTCCTGAAACTGAAGCCATATCCTCTGAACTACCAGTCTTCTCACTCCGTAATTTCAGATGTTTGAGATTAAGTACTTTGCACAAATTCCATGGGTGAACCCTGGTTCATATTAATCCCTGGAGATAGTGAAATTGAAGACATAGCCAGTTACATTTTATCCTGCAATCTCTATATAGCCATGAGGTTCAAAGACATTAACCCCCCTTGGTTTTTCAAATGCATCCTAAGAGGTAAAGTAAAAAACTCGGTTCCTATTTTGCAACGAGAATCTCCCTATTGTGGATTCAGATAGCAGTAGCAGTTAATATGAGAAAAGGCACAGTTTGGACAGAATGCTTCAATTTAGGATCATTTCTAATATTTTAACATATCTGGTAAATTAAATGCCTCATGCTGTTTCATATCTAATTGTCACGGTTGGACAGCATTTACATTTTGTGAACTCAGCTGTGTACAGAGAGCGAGCAATTAGCAATATATGGTGTTAATTTGAATATATAATATTTTCATCTAACACAGTATAGTATTAATATTTCAAATATCAGCATTTCAAAAGGAATAATTGCATATACTATAGGGGGTGCTTGCCGTATGTTCATTTATGTAACACACAGCCCTAAACTATCTTTCTCCACCACCACCCTCCATATGTTGATAGCAGGAGCGGGTGTTAGGATAGCATTTAGGTGCCTCTCTCATGGCTGCCGAGACGCGGGTGGCGCTGTGGGTTAAACCACAGAGCCTAGGGCTTGCTGATTAGAAGGTCGGCGGTTCGAATCCCCTCGAAGGGGGGAGCTCCCATTACTCGATCCCTGCTCCTGCCAACCTAGCAGTTCGAAAGCACATCAAAGTGTAAGTAGATAAATAGGTACCACTCTGGCAGGAAGGTAAACGGCGTTTCCGTGTGCTGCTCTGGTTCGCCAGAAGCGGCTTAGTCATGCTGGCCACATGACCCGGAAACTGTATGCCGGCTCTCTTGGCCAATAAAGCGAGATGACGCTGCAACCCCAGAGTCGGCCACGACTGGACCTAATGGTCAGGGGTCCCTTTACCTTTACCTCATGGCTGCCAGCAGATAGGAGCATGACTGGTGATGAAGGAGTGCGCTATGGTCACTTGAAGGCTGTTGAATCTTGTGTTGGAGGAGAAAAACGAAAATAAATCCAAATACATCCTCCCACCTCTTGCAAAAGTATGTGAACTGCTGTAGAATGTACATATGATTATATTTTAGTCACGTAGTACATACAGTTATATTTTATTTATTTATTAGATTTAAATCCTGCCTTTCCACTGGAGACCTTGAAGCTGCTCATAGCATTTATAAAATGCAGTGGATAAATCATGCACGTTAAAACAAAACGAAGCCTGTGCAGCTGGAGCAAGAGCCTAGTGTTATCTTCACCTGGCTTCCTTTCTCTCCTGTTCCACCCTCCCCCAGGGCAGCTGGTGGTGCAAGACCATGTGGTAGAAATCTTGTTTGAGTATTTAGGGAACTGTGTTTGCGGCTGCTTTCATTCTGTTGACGTTTCCTGGGATCCAGACCATTTGCTTGCTATAGGGCATAAATTATTAGTGTAATTTATAGGGTTCTGTAATCTACATTAAAATACATTTGCTTTTGATTCTTTCCCCCGCCCAACAACTTGCTTAAAAAGAAAACAGCTTCAGCATAGCTCAGCTGTTAATAGGGAAACCTAACAGCTTCAGCAATGGACTTGTTAATGTTACGCACCTTGCCCAGGCAGAACAGAACGCTGGTTCCTCAGTGTGTTAAGAGCACTGTGCTATCTAAACTAATAATGCGTTCATCAAGGGCCAAGGTCATAACGATATGAATGAGGTGAAGGCAGGTCAGAAATACATAAACTTGGAAGCTAGTCCTTAGCACTGCAACCCAATATGTGTACTTTAGTTCTCAAAATTCAGAGTTGTAGGGAAAGATTTATTCTGTATGTTACAATGATGGGCTTCTTTCCTTAAAGCGTGTAAAGTTAACTATTAAGATTGAAGCATGCTTTGTACATTTGAGAACCTTAATAAATATTAAGAACATTTTTTTTTTTAACAGGCCCCTCTTCTACAGTTAACACCAGCTGCTTTTCTCTTATATATGACTGGACAGGATATTCATGTACAGATACTGAACAATATTTATCTGTTTTTCATTCCACTGTTCACCACTTACGCTCTACTTTGCACCATATTGCAAATTTCCCCCCCACAAATTTATTATTCTTACTTCAATTATAAACTTTCGTGTATTTACAATTTATGTGACTGAAGTATCAGTTCTGAATTGGAAAAATAGGCCAATTTTATTGCAGCTTTTGCCAACCTGTTGCCCTCCAGATGTTTTGGTACTACTAGGAAATGTAGTCCAAAAATACTTGGAGGGCAACAGATGGGCCAAGGCTATTCCACTGGATACTCATACAAGTCAAAGATCATGACTCTACATAAAAAAGTTGTCCAGTAGCACCTTAGAGACCAACTAAGTTTGTTCTGGGTCTAAGCTTTCGTGTGCATGCACACTTCATGCATGCACACTTTATGCACACGAAAGCTTAGACCCAGAACAAATTTAGTTGGTCTCTAAGGTGCTACTGGACAGTTTTTTATTTATTTCGACTGTGTCAGACCAACATGGCTACCTACCTGAATCATGACTCTACACTTATAGATAGATTACTAAACCATGGTTGCAATCAACCAGTTAAAGAATCATTCATCTGTTAATTATCTGCCTTTTTTTACCTGCCTATATAAAGTATCCTTAAATGCAATTATATTCCTGCTATAACTCCCCACACATTCACAATTCTACCAGCTTGCTACCTTATTATCTCTTGCTGGTCCTCATTTTCTGCCCAGAACTCCTAAATCATCTCTCTTCTCAAAACCCGCTTCTTCCACTAAGCCTTTGGCTTAACCCTTCTACTTTCATCCCCTACTGCAACAATGCTTTGAGTATGTGTAACTGTTGTATGCCTCCCTGGCTATGCCCTTTCTCCTATCTTTCCACACCAACTTTTGTCAGAATTTAAGTTGTCAGTTCCGTCAGACAGGGAATCTGATTTTGCACTATGTGAGTTGATGGTGATACTATTTCAACAATAAGTAATTGTATCTGTAACTTTTATATGGGTGCATTTTTGAAATATTCAGGGGAATACAACACTTAAAATTTCACAACCAAATGTATATCATTTATTGTTAGAATGAAAGAGCATGTATTTTATACTAAGTTCAAAATAGTATTAAAAAGTCCTTTTATTGACACCAATTAAAATAATGACTTTTTCCAAGTTACTTAAAAGGATTATGAGGAGAAAACTGGGGTAACATTTCCCCAGTTTTCATTTCTGGAAATGTCAAGTGTAGAACCCTCACCGACACTGAAAAACAATTTTTAAAAAACCCTCAAGACCACAGTTTTGTCTTGTATGTGTTTTTTTTTTTTATGTGTATGATGGTCTACGTCTAATAGAAAACTATGTTCTTACAATTAACAAATTCGTTTTAATGTTCTGGATTCATAATAGGAATTGCTTTAAGAACATGCTAGATAAAACCACAATACATAACTGAGAACAACATCAAACAATGTTAAGGATGTGATGAAAATACAAATGATATCTTGGGGTGTCCTGAAAGGATAGGGAGAATAATTCAGCTAGTGTTTTGAAGATCACATAGAGATTTTACATTCTGTGTTAAAATGTTCACCTATAAAACAAAGTATATTTTTAGAAGTTTGGCTTTTATTGCTTTGAGTTCTGTTTGATCATCTCTGCATGCATTTAAATATCTTTGTGCAAATTGGGAACATCTGCGTTAGTAAACTTAATAGAAAATCTCAGGTGATTTGCAGATGACTAAGGCTCTTGCTTTTCAGCTAATGTAAATCCAGCTCACTTCAATGAGGCCTGTATCAGTAAAGTGCTTTAAGTATCAGATTGTAGTGTTAAGGTTTTGCAAGGGCATGTCAGCATCTTTAAACAGAAAAGAGTTAATGTTTTCGATATTTAAAATGAAAACCAGAGACAGCTAATTCAGCTTCAGTATTATCTAGGAAACTTCGAGTACTGGTTGTCAGTAAAGTAAGCCTGTGCCAGAAAATCATGGTGCTGTTTGCCTGTGGTTTCCATACATTTGCACTGATTCCATTTTCAGCTACCATCCTTTCTTAAAAGAATATCAGTGGAATATGGGCTCAGTTTTTATGTATAGCCTACATTTGGTTAACTGTTCTTGCTTATTATCAAATTGAGCTTCATAACTAACTAAGTTTTTTATGTACTGTATTGGTAGAGGTGTATTTTAGCTTTAAATATTAAGATTCATCAATAGTGTGTAGTATTGGTGGTGATTTAAATCAATGCCTGATAGAAAGTTCTGTGTTTGTTTCAATATGAGAATCATTCTGTTGCATGCATGGTAGTCACCATTCATTTAAACAGTAGCCATTCATTTCAGTGGAAGGACCCACTCTACTCTAAAGTAATGTATGCAAATTGGAGTCAAACTTACCCTTTAAGTTAAATGGAAACCCAACTTCAGACGAAGGTTTATCCTCAGGACCACAGCAGGTGAGAAAAGGGGTTTAAATTCCATTTAATTTCAGGTCTTCATTCGTTCTGAACCTATTAATGATCAACCCTTCCAGCTGTTTTTATTTACATTTTTAGAAACCGGCATTTTGATGCAAGAGGTGTTCATCAAGTATATTTTGGGTCACAATTCCCTCTCTCAAAATTAATGACTAAGTACTTCCAGGTGGTGCAGTTCCATGCTTGTGTCTGAACATCTGTTCCTGGAGCATATTGCTGGATCTGGACATTGGTGTTTTACTGAAAATGCTTTAAGACCTTTGAGTGGTTGGTTGTTTTTTTGAAATCCATCATTACCAATTTGTCCCAAATTTCTTTCTGTTTACAGATTGCTGAGCCAAACCATGAAGGATCATCTGGTGAGAGTTGCAAATGAAGCAGAATTTATCTTGAGCAGACAAAGAGCTGAAGATATTCACAGGCATGCTGAATTTGAGGCAAGTCCCAAATCTTACACATTGCACTAGTATTTCATTCATACATAGTGGAGTAATAAACTGAAACATAGGTACCACAGCTATGCCAGATTAAAAATGTAAACACATCAGGTGCCTGTGAAGTTGTGTCTTTAAAATCCCTGACCATGTTGACCTGTAAATAGTACACAGAAGCTCTGAAGCACCTATTCTCTTGGATCCAGAGATCTTTCACAAATAGAAAAGCACTTCCACTTGTGCAAGGCAACCCTACTGAATTCCTTCAATTCCCAGGTCCTTCTGCTTCTCTGTGTACCCCATCTTGCACATCCAGAGAGTTCCCTGACCCTCAGGAGCAGCTATGGGGAGAGGAGGGAACTTTTAGCGGGGGTGGAAGAGACAAGAAGGACCCATTGTGATTGGAGTTCTGCTGTATCTTCTCTGGGTCCAGCCCACTTTTTTTACTTGTTGTAAACAGGGCTGCTGGTTGGAGAATAGGGATAAAATTTGGGATGATTTACAATTTTGTATTTTAACATTCATAATTGACAACGATGTTCATCCAGTATAACAACTGGTATAATATAGATAAAAGGCTAACTTCAATAAAGCAGTGTATTGTTTGTAGACTTAAATTGAACTTTGCATTATTTTTCTTAATGAAATATTATTTGGTAATTTCACTTCCCTCTGAGTCATCAGAACAACAACAACAAGAATACTTTTTCCATGAAGTCACTTGCGTGATTGTTGTTTGTTTAGTCTTCCTTTGGATAGGGTTGAACTCCTACACTCTCCCTACTTAGAACACTCTCATTTTCCAAACCATTCTGACTGATTTTTTTGCACCAGTCAAATAGGTATAATATTTTACGGCAGTCTGTTTAGTCCGATGCATTCTAGCACTGGTCTCATGGATGTTTCACACACAATTGTTGCTGCACACATACAAATTATTTCCCTCTTTATGCATCCCATGACCACATTATCCTTTTTGACGTAGCATTGCAAATGGATCTTATGAACTATAACCTTACCAGTATGATTCCTTAATCCTCTCGTGCTTATGGCTTTCAAAGATATTGTCCCTGACTGTCCTTGTTGATGTGGATTATGTTCTTTAGTCTCCTCTCCACTCCTCTACTGGAATCTTAAGTACTTGATAAAAACAATATGTTGTTGGAATTAAACTTACTGGTCTATCTAGATCAGGCTGCTCTTTGTATAAATTTACTCTCTAGCAATCTTTTAGCCATTTCAAAATAAAACGTTTGACTGAGTAGAGCTGCTTTTGCACAATGTCTTTAGTGGGGACTGGCAGGGTAAAAGCACCTTAAAGAACCTTGCCAGAGTTTGCAGCTGGTACAGAACTGGCAATCAATAAGAAGAGTGGAGCAGCTAAGCTACTAATTTGGATCTAGAGTTAGCTGCTTCTGAATCATCATTTTTGTAAAGATCACATTTTAGATTTTCTAATTGCTACCATTTCTGTCAACAGTTTCAGCATTAAAAAACAAACAAACGTGCCTTTAATTTTCTGGGGAAACCTGGTACAAATGTGTATTTGTTCACATGGGGGTTTCACACAATGACTTTTGGACAAATAAACGCCTGAGTGGCTTTCACACAAATAAATCCTTAGTCTGTTCTGTAATAGTATTTCAGTTTCCAGTGGCTCATAAAAATGTAGCCATGGATATGTTACCGCCTCCAACCAAATATTTACACATATAAATATACTGCAAACAAAGTCTAAAAAGTTATTTTTTTGCTGAAGTAGTAACAAAAAAAGTATTTTATATTTTTTTATAAACCCAAACTAAATAAAAATAAGGGATAATTTATTATTGAGGGACAATGAATTACATTGACATGTATTTTGAATTTATTGGATTACTATGGCCTCCCGATCAGTTCAATACAGAACAAAAAAGAAATACCTCATAAAAAACTAGTTTTTTATTGGATTCTCCTAAGAACTAATTTTATTTTTTACAAATGAAACATTGAGGATTTTCCTTATATATTAACACATAAACATTTGTTTTAAAATGCGTAAGAAGTGGAAAGTTTATTTTCCTGGACAGTGGTAATGTTTCTAAAGGTCATCTCTGTGGGTCTCAGGATTCATGCTGTGCATTGTTTAATAAGCTGTCTGTACTTCATCTAGACCTAGTTACCCACTCCTGCAAACAGAGATGTTGTCAGATATCTACATTGTCATTTTGTGCTAGTGAAATAGCAGGCAGGTTTCATTTGTTACATCAAAAAATGAAGGGTTGGTAGACAGTCCTGTGGAGACGAAATATACATCTTTTTTAGTTCATTGCCTGATAATCATTGGAGTCTGACAAAGGTGACAACTTATACACTGGTTTTATGCAGATGCACCATGAGTGACATGGCCTCATTGATTAGGTGAATTGCTCTTCTTTTCCTGCTGCTAACATACCCCTCTGCCCTTTAACCGCACTTTTTTCACATAAGAATAGCTAAATCATGGGAATTTTTTTTTACTGCATTTCAAAATGCTGCCTCTGTCAGAACTGACCACAATTTTTTATTTCTCTGTG